GGAATGGAGCAGGTAATAAAAGAACTTAAGAATTACATATGGGCCAGGCACCAGGGTTCATTCCTGTAATCCCAACACTTTGGGAGGTTGAGGTGGGTGAATCACCTGAAGTCAGGAGTTCAAGACCAGCCTAACCAACATGGTGAAACCCCATCTGTATTAAAAATACAAAAAGTTAGCTGAGCGTGGTGGTATGTGCCTGTAGTCCAAGCTACTGACTTGAGAGGCTGAGACTTGACAATTTCTTGAACCTGGGAGGTGAAGGTTGCATTGAGCTGAGATTGTGCCACTGTACTCCAGCCTGGGTGAGAGAGTGACTCCGTATCAAAGAGGAAAAAAAAAAAAAGAGAGAGAGAAAAAGAATTGCATATGCATGAATGTACCAGTTTTTTCCTTTTTGAGATTGTCCTTATCATTCTTCCTCAAATCCTAAGTAGGTTTTTATTCTATGGCCTATTATTATTTGGTCTTACTTTTTTTTCAGAGCTCATACTGTATTGTAAGTGATCATTTTAGGTCCTTGTTTACCTCATTAGGCTCTGAGATATTTATTCAAGAGTAAAGACAATGTGTTATTTATTTACAAGGGAATAGGCGTTCAATAGATGGCAGATGAACAAACATATTTGACTCTGGTCCACTGGAGTTAACTTAAGGTGTGACTCTCCTCAATCTTACCGAGGAAACTGCAGATCTGTTTTCCTAAAAATAATCAAGTAATCTCTACCTCTTCCCTTGTTTTGTAATGGTATTCTGGCTATCGGCTTCCCTGGCACTATGTTCTCCTGGATCACTGCTTATTTCACACTGACAATTGTGTTTCTTTGTAAGATTGCCCATGTGTAAGCTGAGTACAGCGATCACCATCTTGTTCTTGTTCTCTGTCTTGGAGTGTTTAAGTGCTATATTGAACTGGTAAATTGATAGATGATGAATTCTTATATTCACTTGAGTCTATTTCTGGGTTTTCTAGTCTATTCAAGTCAACCATTTCAGTTTAGATGCCTGGCACTCTCCTAGGCTAGAGTGATAAAATAGGAAGCCGTGCGTCTGTTCTTGAGCCCTATTCTAGTAGGCTGAACAGAAGAATGAATAAGTTGCTTTGGTACAATGTTAACTGTAAGAGAGGCTGCCCTCTGTCATGGATGTCCAGTGTGGCCTGAAAGTATAGGGAAAGTTTTACTTGATCCATGAAGAGAACAAGTCAGAGAAGCCTTCGTGAAGAGGGATATCTTAGCAAAATCTTAGAAGGTGAGCAAAGAAAAGCTGGGAAAAGAAAGGTGAAGGATATTTTCCAGGTAGGAAAATAATACCAAATGCAATTGATCTATGTCTCTGATTTGGAAATATTATTTTCATTGTTGCCATTTTGTGATTTTTAAAAAGTCTGTTAGGCTTTTGTAATTTTAATGATTTTTCTTAGACAATTTTTTTTTTACCTGTTTTTTCTTTCATTTTGCCTGGTAAATTTTGGAATTATTTTATCTACTTCCCAGAAAATTTCTGTTGTGATTTAAAAGTATTGGCATTTTGTTAAATGTGTAAATTAATTTAAAGAAAAACAGTTTTAAAAATCTTTATCAGTTTTAGTCTATACAGTTGAGAATTGGTCTCTTCATTTAATATTTATCTCTTTCAAATTTATTTAGTTTTTTCCTGGCATAGGTTACAGCAGATCAGTTATGGCATTTTTTTCACATGTTAATTTATGATTGTATATAAGTATGCCATGTACATTATATACAGGTAATATTACTTATGTCAGAAAATGTATATTTTGGTAGAATTTTCCTAAACAAAAATTATTTCACTTTTGCTTAAGAAACAAGCACTAATTTTTACTAATTTTACTAATTTTCACCAATTTTTGTTATGGTTAATTTTTCAAAATTGTACATTTCATCAAAATTTTCTGTTCTTATGAGGAATTATGTTGCTATAACATGTTTTTATTTCATATGTTATTAATCTTATTTTAATATTTTAAAAGATTTATCAGCAGTTTTTTTAGATTTTTAGTTTTAATTTTTTATGATATGAAATCTGGAATGACTTATTTCATCTTGGTTTCATAGATTTTTGTTCTTGATTGTTCTGGAATCTTAGTTGAATGCTTTATTCATTTCTCTGTTGACAAGTTGAAATGCTCTTATGTCAAAGACTGCTTTGGCCAAATTTCATCATTTGTAGCATTTTTTAACTATTATTGTTTAAATAGGCACATTTCTCAAATCATCAATTAGGGAAGTGTTTTTAAATTCCTGGGATCTTAGGTAATATAAAATATATTGTCCATTTTTACTTTCAGGGAATATAGTCTGAAAAATTTAACGTTTTCTTTCTGAGACAATATTTATTTCATTTATATGATGATTGACAGTCAAAGAGAAGTTTCTTTTCTGCCATGTGTAGAGAGGTGTTTGTGTGTGTGTTTATGAGTTAATTTTTTTGCTTTGCCAATTTTTAAGTTATATGACAGAGAGTAGTTAAAATCTTTCCCTTATAATTAAATTTGTCAAGTTTCTTCTTCTTTTTACTTTTCAAAGTTTTGGATTTTTGTTTTTGGTAACTTTCCTGCTGAGCACATGCTTTAATCATGTATAATCAATAAGACAGGGCATTTTATCGTTATAAATTTGTTAATCTGCCTCTCTCCTATACTTTTTGCCATAATGTCTACTTTAAAATATTGATTTTCCTTTTATTTCAGTTTAATAGATTAATTTTTTGCCCCAATTGTTTTTAAATGCAAAGCTTGACTTCATCTTCTAATAGATTAAAGCTGATTATGTGCTCTTATAATTTCTACCCTTGATTTAATATTATATGAAATTTTGCTGTTCCAAATGCTTACTTCCTATTAAAATATAATATAATTTGGAAGATTATATTTTCACATTTTATGTGCCCATTTTAGATTCTAGTGAGAGTTAACTGGAAAAAATCTCACAAGTGTTTTTTAAATTTATGTTTAATTACTTGTGCCAGAGAGTCTTAAAGGCTCGTCCATTAATGGGTCAGAAGGGTCTTTCTTGGGGGCTGTATATTGAGCCTCAGCTGCAAGAGTTTGGTATCATTGAGAGTAATTAACATTTGACGGTCACAAATTAAAATTACCCTATCATTGGCCTTAACTGGAGATGCTAATTCATATACAATGCTCACAAGTTTTTCTAAAATGCATTTTGTTTATTCCTTTATGCTCTAATCCCTATTCCCCTCCCCTCTAATCTGGTTCTTTTCTTAGGGTAAAGTGAGCCACAGAATCTTACATCTCTTTTAAAGGGATAAAGATCAAAGAAATCTCAAAGTTGCGGATTTATACCTATTTGCTACTTTTTAAACCTTCCTTCCTTGGAAGACAAGGCATAGAGCTTTTTTTATTTTAGCTTCCTGGTATTTTATCTGCTAATTTTGTTTCAACAATGATGTCAATTAGTTTGACATGTCAATAACAGCCTTTCTTTTCCTCATTAGAGTTTATCTTTTTGGCTAAGATTCAGTTGTTTTTCTCACTAAGTCTCTTAAATAGGGATTTCATTATCTTTGATTTAGATATTTTTTTGTTGTTGTTAGTAAATTTTCCCAAAAGAGAAGCCAGGTAATAAAATTACTGCATCTTTGGAAATAAATTGCCCTCTGCCTGGGAATAACATTTTTGTTATATCCTTTTATCTTGGGAGTTCTGTAATGTTTCTTCAGTGATATTTGGAGTCAGGACATAAATTAATAAGATGTAGCCTTTGATGAAAATCCAATTGGGACAGACATTGTTTCACTCATATGTTAGATATGTAAAATTTGTTTTAGATTTTCTAGATGAGAAAATTACCTATCTACTTTATTATGTAATTGTGAAGATCAACTTTTATATATATATATGATTCTATATAAACTTAAAAAATGTATATAAGCATTTTCAGGGCCCCAGATAGGTAAATTGGTAAATCATAGTACAATGTAGGGTTATACAAAAAATTAGAACGAATGAGAGAATAAAGGAAGAATAACAAGGGCCGTGGAGAGAAGACAATATGTGGATGAGATTATGAAGGATGATATCCTGGGGTGGGTGGTGCTAGATAGATACACATTCTAGGCAGATTCTAGCATGTCCACTGACTTGTCACTGTGGAAGGTCAGGAGAGATGAGATGCTCAAAATGAATAATTGTGGGGAGTGGATCCAAGTGTTTCTAACACGTTGCCTTTTTTCACAGATTGTCTCATCCATGGCCCCATCTAGGGGAGGAGGAGGGATGAGCACCTGACTCAAAGATGGCTTATTTGTAGGCTAACCAGGAGTGCTAAAGCAGCCTGGTTGAAAAGGCTTTACCTAACAGGAACCAATCTGGCTTTCTTCTTCAAAAGCAGAGAAGGGAGTGGTGAAGAGGAAAGTGGTAAACTATGGCCAGAGGAGCCTATGTAGGTCATTAGAAAAGAAATTGAGGATGGCTGTTCCCTTGACATGCTCCACATCCTGGGGACTCACAAATTCCAGGCCATGTATTACCTTACAGTAAGCTCTCTTTTCATAAGGCAACCTGTGTGAATCTCTTCCCGAGATCCAAAATGGCTTACCCAACTGATCAAAAAGATATGGAAGAGATGTTAATGTGAAAATTTATTTCTGAGGTAGAGTCAATAGGAGTGACTGATTTATTATCTGTGAGAGAGGAATTCCCTAAAGAAGTGGACAAGGGTACTTTCCTTCTTACCAATCATTATTTTTATTAATATATTTTACAAGACTGCAGTCGAAATAATATTAAATACAAATTTTTTTATACAGAAAGTGTAATAAAGTTAAAATAGTTCCTTGTAATTCATAGCATTATTGCAATGCTTACAAAATTTTTGCATAGAGTGTGCAAGGATTGATGTTATTCAAAACAAAATTAAAATGCTCTTCTTACATCACATCCAAACCCAGAGAAAAACCAAACCAAACCAAAAATAACCCAAAGGCTCAACTCAATTGCTTTATGGGAATGGGGTTTCTTTTTCAAAATCTCCAAGCAAATGGGACTATTATGACCTCACCATTAATGTCTGTTAAGAACATCAGAATCTGGCTTCTTCAGAAGTGTATCTAACTAGCATAATGGTGGATGGCCTCTGCCTTTTCCTTCTAAAACACAACCTCCTTAAAGAAGTATGTTTCAGCTTCTTCATAATCTCAAAAAGGGAGAAACCTGACAGGGAGAGGTGGTTGATACGTGAAGAACTTTGTTCCCCTCCTCATGGAAACAATAGATTAAAAACTAAGTCAGTTTGGTGTTCACTAAATTTAGATGAGCCAACACTTCCCTTTACTTTTCTAGAATCTTCCCTCTCTTCCAGAGAGCCAGATTTCTGGCTCTGGTGAGGTTAGTCCTATGAGACCCTTTAATGATTATTTATTCTTGGCTTGCCATTTGGATGCTACACCATTAAAAAGAAATCCTTGACTGACTTACTGTAGAGTCTTTTTCATTCTTGGCTCATCTCTTTACTAAGGTCTTGTGGGGGGTGTTGAACCAGTCAAGGACCGGCACTGAGGCTGAGTCTTTTGGGTCTGGTGAGGAGCTCTATCCACATTCCTCCCAGAGGACCAGGTACTTGTTGTGGAAAAAGCACACAGGAGCGGGATGGACCCCAACTTCTTTGCTGCTGTAGCCCCCTAAGCTCTGGGTGAAGGCAGGTTGACAGCAGGGCTTTAAACAAGGGCATTCTGATTTCTAATCTGTTTGGATGACCCCTGGATGAGTTAATTCTTCAAAACGACTTTGTCTTTTAACTCTTATGGATCAAAGCCTGATCTCTTTGCTTAGAAGATGAAAGCGTTCCAAAAGAAACCAGGCTGTAAGGAACTTCAGATGCACTCATTTCTCCTTTCCCAGTTGAAACACCACTAACCTCATTGCCGAATGTAGGAGGCCAGGGTCAGGGTTAAAGGGTGCCACTTTAAAAATAAGAATTGGCAAACAAGTCTCATTTCCTGCTCAGATGAATTGGTAGTGATGGCCTGAGTGCTCTGGTGAGGAGAATTCTCCACCTGGGGAAGGGTATGGCCCATTAACGATGGCTGCCAAGGTGTGGGGCTGAAGCCATTACAGAACCAGAGTGGTCAGCTCAGCTCTGACATTGTATGCCTACATGCAGTCAGTGAATCCCTGGTAGTTCTTTGTTATAGGGAAACAGAGACAATGATAAAAACGAGCTTCCTTCTCTTTGATCCCTCCCTTCAGTTTTGCCACAAGTAAAGGTAGAGAAGAATACTGACCAAATAGTGTAAATCATCTAAAGTAAGATGTTTGCCTTTTGAAGGGAAGTGTAAAGGAAAGAGATGTATGTGTACAGAAATGCTGACTTGCTTAGCCACACACCCACAGATCACTGAGTATTACAATTTTCTCCTAAATGTGAGGCTAACCACCCAGGTATTTTCCAATCTATTTTTTTTTAAAGCTTGACTTAAGAAGCACACACAGAGCAAATTAATTTTTTGGTGTTCTGGATTCTATTATTCAGGCAGGTTTTCTATATTTTCACCTCGGGTATCTGTACTTTAGTATGGATGCTGTCACTGGGAGAGACTACAGAAAGCAGGGAAATAGAAGTTCTATAGCCTCATCCACCCAAGAAGATCTAGTTTAAAACCTAACTTAAAACAACTTAAAAAATAGTTCAACATGTGATGACTTTATAGCAGAGTGGTCAGGAGTTAAAACTCCATTCCAGCTCTGCCATTTTCTAGCTAGTGCCTTTGGGCAAGTTTCTTAGGTGCTCTAAGCCTCAGTTTCCACATCCATATGTTGGAACAGTATTAGAACCCAACTCAAAGGATTGTTTGGAAGATGAAATAAAAGAATGCATGTAAAATGTTTAGCATAGTGCCTAACAATAGCTCAATGAATATTAATAAATATTCTTAACATTGAAGAATAGAATTCTGCCCATGTCTTAGGGTAGGCTTTAGCTCCAGGAAAATCTCTTTGATGTTTTACAAGATTTTGTGGGATGGTTCTTTTTGGGGAGAAGTTTCATAGATTTGCTCAGATTGTCAAAAGAATCTAGGGCCCCCCAAAATGTTAGAAACGCATGAATTAGATGAATCTGGGAACTAGAGAAATACTGTCTTCCTTGTTTATAAATGTCTTCTTCCTGCCCTCACACAATCCTTTTGCTACTGTGTTCCCATGGAACCTAATAGACCAGTTTGGAATTTCTCATTTTATGAAATTCTGAGCTACCTCTGATTTCACCAAAAATCCCCAAATGTAGAAGTAGGCTGTGAAGACATTGGAAGGTGAGGGACTGTTAGACAACTCTAGGCATGTGGAATAGATTTTAGATTAAGCAGATGTTTTCTTTTGTCTTCTCTCAAAGAAGCTGGTCTCATAATTGTGTTATTAAGCTGACCTTAGCTAATGTTCAGTGATGAAGCCAAATTAACTCACTCACTAGTGAGGCTGTCCACATGCCTAATGAGGCATTTGGAACCCCACTCTGCCTTCCTATTGCAATAGGTGGATTCAGACCCTAAACATGCTTCTTGCTTACAGTGACTTTTTCTTTGTTCTATTTCACTTGCAAATCTCAAAATGGGTGCTGATATTTATTACTGCTTGCTGGGCTAAAGTTGAGGAGCAGCAGTGAGCACTGCTGTTGGAAGGTTTGAGACTGTTTATTGATGGATTTGATAGCATCATTAATACTGTATTATGACATCACACTTACTATTGCATCAAGGGCCCGTGACATTCTTCTCTCTCAAATGAGGATGCTAATTTCCTACTATTCTGTCAGTATCTACAAAAGAAAGGCAGGGGGAGAACCAAAGAAAATAGCATATGTGAGCATGGGTTGCCCCAAAAGTTTACATGTGTGCTCTAACGATACTCAAAAAGAAAACCTCCCACAAGGCATTATTTTCCCTTTGCCATTCAGACCTGCCTTGAGAAATTTCAAGGACTCCATTATGAAGAAAGCTTTTAAGAACCATAGAAATCTCATTGCTTTTGAAAACGCAAACGCATGTGGTGTGCTGTGCTGGCTGAAGCAGCAGGCTTCAGATTGCTTTATCTCTTATCAGTGGCTTGGCTTTGTGCATGAGAAATTCAGAGGCAACTGTATAATTTTAAATTCCGATTACCACAAAGAAAGAGATGCATCTGACATCCCAATGCTGTAGCTTTGACTATTTTAATGGAAATATGTTGGAACTAGAGAAACCTTCCACCAAGGAGACAGCGATGAAAGACCACAAGAGAGACATTTTATGTTTGAGATAAAAGACCTGTTTTCGAAGGTTGTTTCTTTTATTATAACTTTTTCCTGATCTGCTACTAGGGCACCATGCAAATGTATCATTCCAGGAGTTGTTTCCTTATCCTTTTTGTGCCTAAGATTTCTTTGGACAGGGGGAAGAGGGAGAACTGGTCTTGTTTAATGAAATTTTTGACCTTTAATAGAGCCTTGAAACATTGGTATGGATCTGTTTACCTCTTTGGTCCAAACCTCATGCTACTTTTGGCCTAAAATAAACAAAGAAAGATCCTCTGATTTAGATGCTGCTAAGGGCAGTGTTGCCAATTTAATTTTATTTCAGCTGTTTCCAAATAAATAGCCGAGGGATTCCCTTAAGTGGCTTTGATTAGGGTCTGGTAAATGGGGGTCATTTACATTAAAAAAAAATCCTTCCTCCTTATCATGAATACTCATACTTCCAAAGAGTCATCCATAGCTGATACTTTTTTGTTGTTGTTTTTTAAACTTCATATTGAATATGAAGTCCTGGATGAACAAAAGGGATGTTGACCGAAGGGACAAATGTCTGACAGGAAGCTGCCTGAACACACGGAAGCAGAGATGTCAACAATATTTCTTTTCAAAATATGTCTTTTGTTGTTGTTGTTGTTTGCATTCCTTCTGCACCACGGAACAAAGACCCAGCTTCTTAGAAATAAAACCAAACTGGTATCCATCTGGTTCCTCCCAGAATCATCTTGATGAAAAGAATTTTACTGTATTTTTCTGTTCCCATGTATTTTAAGATGATTTTTCCAATACTTCCAATTATTTATTGTTCCCACTAACCCTTCAAGCCTGGTGTGGCTCGAACAATAAGTAGAGTGGCAGTGTTGATAACTGAAGTGATGGAGGAGAAATAGACATGCTAAATCAAAAATATTCTCCAGAGGACCATGGAGTGGGCATCCCTCTGGACTATGGGAGGGTGAGGTGGAAAACTTTATATGAATATGGACAGCAGAATAGTCTCTACAAGAAAGAGATTCTCAGGGTAAACCATAGGGTCCCCTACTTCACTTCTCATTACACAGTGATGCTGGACTGCAGGACCTGGTATGTGTCTATCCATGAAGGGTCTTGGAAGATCATAACTTTCCTTTTCCACTAGGCTTCCCCTAATTCCATCCTCCCTGTTCCCAGGAATCTTCTGAGTCTCTGTTTCTCTGGCAGGTGAATCGCTTACTTCCACATGGCTTGGAAAGCAGGCTTTCCATATGTAGGGTAAGGAAGGACTTCCTTCCTGAAACACTTTGCCAAGTAACTACATTCCCAAGCCTACATAGAAAAACGTAAGCTTACTCCCTGCTGTTGGGAAATGTGCTTTCTTTCCTGCCCTCTCGAACGCATACCACAAAAACCTCTAGGTCAGGGGTCAGCAAACTTTGTAAAGGACTAAATAGTATTCTATGCTTTGTGGGCTACATAGTCTCTGACACAGCTACTTGACCCTGCTGCTGTGGTGTAAAATCAGAAAACATGTAAATGAATGTATGTGGCTATATGACAATAAAACTTTATTGACAGGAAAAGGTGGTGAGTCAGATTTGGTTTCTCAGTGGTAGTTTGCTGACCTCTGCTCTAGGGTCAAACCTCAAGCAAAATTTGGTCTACGGTTGCTGGATATGCTATGAAAACTATCCATAGAGAAAATGACCTAAAGGATGATCAAAGCCACTTCAAGTTTATAACATTTATACCTTGGATAACATAACAATTATAAAGCCATGTGTCAGGCTTTTACCTTGGTAGATGTCACCATAAGGGCTTTTGAAAGCCTCTGTGATACTTGAATAGTTTCCTAAGACTTCTATGAATTCTTGAGCAGATATCAAATAGAAGTAAATGTCGAACGTATTTGGAAATCAGTTTTTAATTTGTAAAAATCTTCTGAACAATATTAACATACTAGAACTTCTAGTATATTGAAGGTTCATTTGAACTCTTTGTTATGATACCGTCTGTTTAATATACCCAAAGGCGTGATTGTCTAGAAAATATCACATATAAAGATTAGAAAGAATCTCATTTTTTAAAAAGTCGGTGTTAGTAGATTTTAATGTAAAAGCTTTTCTTCCCACCCAAGAATTCAGGTAAAAATTTTTTCTCATGACCATGGACAAATATTCTAGTTTGAGGGTGTTGGGTAAAAAGATGTACATTGAGAAACTTGGAATGCATTTTACTACCAATTTCTGAAATCTGAACTGAAATACATAATTTAAGCCATACCAAATTTCCTGCTTATTACTTTGTATATTGTGGTCACTTAGCATAAATGAAAAATAGAATTTTATCATATCTGTTCCCAATAGGTACTTGATTTATACTGTTGATTGTTCTTATGTTTATTCTATGTGTGATCTCATTACCCTTAGGATAAAATTTTGCATGTGGAATCACACCAGTCTTTTTCATTGGCATAAAACTTCTGGTGCTAATCTCATTTTCATGTAGTGATTAGAACAAAATCTAAGGAAAATGTTCTGGGAACCTTTTGCTCTTTTGTCATCCAAAGATAATGAACTTGAGATGGCAAAATGCAAAGAGTGTCTACTTAAAATCACCTGTCTTAACCTGTCTAGCCACAAACGACTTCGTAGCTATTATTGTCTATCTGAATGGTATGGGGAAGTTGATCCTAATAGCCAAGGAGGGCCTTTCCTGGCTTGGAAAAACCCTGTATTGATACATACAGATTCTGGCAGCATGGCCCTGTGGGATATTAATTCTACTGATCCAGAGTAATCTGATGTCTTTTCTGGTTTTCCTTTTTAGACCCTAGTGCTGCAAACCAACCAATCACTGGGTCTCACCCTAAGAATGACCAGCCCAACTCCCTGGATGAAATACTGAGCGAGAGTGCTTGGAGTGAGTTTGGGGTCTGGATGCCAGCAACATCACTGGTTCATCACTGGCCAGGCCAGGACCCATCCCCCATCTCCCACGATCTACTTGTAAGTGACTGAGCAACACACAGCTTGCTTTTACATCCGTGTGTGTAAATCTCAGCCTGATGCTTGAGTGTCATCTCAAAAAAATATCAGATCTTTTATTTATCTCCTATACAAAACTCCCCTTGCTTGTAAAGTAAGAAAAATTAAAACCTCATTGAGGGAAAAGAAAAACAAACCCAAATGCCACCCAGGCCTACAAATACGATTTCATTTAGACTTGCAGGCCCACTGCTTTCCAGATGGCATCCAGGGCTGTCTAAGCCAGCGATGAGTTCATTCTGGGCTCCTGAGAGTCCTCATCTGCCAACCATTTGGTTTATCTATCAGCTTTTCCGATGTCCAGTCATAACTAAGTCACTATTCTCCAATCTCCCAAAATAAACTATAGGTAACAAGATAAATTAGATGTGCTTCTCCTTGCTGAGTGCATTGACTTAAGGCATAGGCACATTTCCTCCTCTTTGAACAGAGATGGTGTAATCCCCTGTCCCAGCACAAGAGCTGGCCAGGGTGACCCTGGAGCATGATAATGAAGGTGGGGTGATGAGAGGTAGCTGATGGCGGGAATTAGGGTGCTGCTTCCACATACAGGGGAGGAGGTACTGCTGGGCCCCCCAGGACACAGTGATTCTCATAAAGACACTTGACTCAGTTTATATGATCTTTCAGTGAGCAATTCTGGTGGCATGTAGTGCTTCTTAGAGAAAACACATTAGTGGATTTAGGAATATGAATATCCCAGGGCAAATATAAGATCAAAGTCAGAGAGTTTGTGCATGCCTTTAAAAATAAAGGACATGTTTTGACATTACCCACCAATCCCAAGAAACATGGTAAACATAATTAGATTCCTTATGCTACTCTTAATTAGACATGCAGGCTTCTCCTGGAGTAGGAGTTCTGCTCTTGGGGATTTTGATTAACCTGATCATTGTGTGTTGAAATATACTGGATAAAGTCAGAAGTGGGAACAGAACAGCTTTTAAGCCATTTTTCCTTTAAACAGAGACCTATCACCCATTTGTTCATTGCCTGTCAGGCCATTGAGTAGCTTCCAGCTGACTAAGGAGCAGCTGTTATCTTATTTTGTGCTGATTTACAGCTCCTAATTTGATTGTGGGAGAGTCTGGGAGTTTGAGGGAGCAAGACAGCAGAAGTTGGGTGAGTAGTTCAAAATGTGCTGAAATTCATCCTCCTCATTCATTCAACTACAAAAACCTCAATATGTTTGGCTGCCAAGGTAGGGCAGCCATTTTGGGTTCCTGTGGCTGACTTCTACAGCGTTGCCAGTCCCAACCTTGAAGAGGGGGAGGTTAGCTAGCTTTACTAAAGCTAAAACAGGAAACCAAATGCCTATTTTTGATACAGAGGTCTCAGAGCTTGAGTGTGACTTTGAGATTCCCGCCATCACTCCCTCGTAATGACACTAAAGGAGAAGATACGTTGCTGCTTGAACATCTAGAAGAAGATTCTGTCAGTGTTCAATATGCTGTGTGATTCTGAATAGTCTGGGGAATGTTGGGAGGGATGTGTATTTAGATTTTTGTCACACAGGTGGTGGGGATGGGATGGAAAATGACAGTGGCTATCACAGGGTCACCCATGGTTCCTTTTGTACTGAAACCTCATTTTATACAGAGGATATATATATTTATTTATATATATTTATATATATTTATATCCACCCACATACGCAAACACACTCAAGCACACACACACACACACACACACACACACACACACACACACGCATACACACACACACAAAAGGTCTTTGATAGGCTTTCTGTGTTCTAGTAAAAATAGCTGGCAGCCAGTGTCTAAAGCCAAAAAAAGGCCTTGATGCTGCTGTCAATGTCCACTATGGATAGTCTTTCAGAGGCAGACACTTGTGTTTATCTGACAAGTGGACCCAGCTCCTGCCTGAGACAGGAATAATCTCCCATTGGCGCAGACGCAGATCTCGAAGACCTTCTGCCTCGTTCCTGTAGGCGTGTAGGATCCGTGAGGCAGTCTAGGTAGTTTGATTTTCGCAGCATCTAACTTAATCTAAAGAGAGAATAGGAAGGAAAGGATCAGTCAGAGGCTGTCGTTTCTTCTCTTGACATTCAGAAACAGCAAATGAATGTTCAATTCAACTTAAATCTAATGAGCACGGGTTATGTGTTGATTGTTTTTGGTACTGAGGATTTGGACATCAACAAGACAAAGTCTCTATCTTCACAGAAGCTTAAATTCTAGCAAGATACTGCTGCATTGGTTTATGTTAGCATTTTGTGAAATAATGTCATACAGAATGTGAATGGAGTCCTACAGTTGAATAACCACGAAAATGCGGCATTTAACAATTTTCTTTACTATGGACTTCTGAGATCCTACTACGACTGTGTGCAAGGTGAGTGTTCAAGAAGAGAATAGAGTAGGTAACATTTTCTAACTTTTAAATGCTAGTGAGCCTTTCTGCTTTTTTTCTTTTTCTAACAATTTATGGGGCTGATAGTCTATAGAATATACTTTGAGAAGAACATGCCTATAAAAATAAGCAGTGGTAGAAGATGCCATTAGATTTATGATTATAACTGATTCCTCCAGAGTTCAAATTCTGATAGCTATAAACTGCATATGTGAGGTAGTCACTATTTTTATATGTGTGGTTTGCAGTTTGTGGTTGCTTGAAGAGGCAGTTTTGATAATGGAATGTTCTGTCTCTTCTAAAACAAAATAGCAAATGCCATACCAATCAAAAGGGGGACTTTTATGTCCATAGAGTGGATGTACAGAAGCAGGTAGAGACTGATAACCACTCTCATTGAATAGTCAGGTGGAACAGCATTTTTCTTACCAAAAAAAAAAAAAAAAAAAAACACCCAGAGTTTTTACTCTTATTATTATGATTAGGTAGCAGAGTTCACTTTGGAACACTTTGAAGGCATTTTTAAAAGTTTACAGACAAATCATATTTTGGGGGTGGGTGGCAATTAGGTTGTCTTGCTTGCAAAAACACAAGCAACATTTCTGTTCACCCAACTGTGACTGTGTTAGCCTAGGAGAATAAATACTGCACTGTTTCATTCCCTTGTTGCCTAGTTTTATCCTATTAAGTTTTGGCTTGTTCTGATTGGGACAGCTGTTCAATCTGCCTCCTCATTTCCAATGAAAACAGAAACATGTGACACAAAGTAACAACAAGTAAATTAAGTTCATCTTTAGCCAGATGTGTATAATATATACAGCTTAATTATGTTGACTATCAAAATCTTATTTTAAGGTGACAAGAGAGAATTTGAAAATGGCATTCATTTTTATGGTCATGTAATTCTGTACTTGGAATACATGCCATTATCTCTGCATTTTACAAATAAATCATCACTTTGATGGATTGTGGGTTTGGCTTGTAATCATGCTGTTCAGTTGATCATTTCAGAAATAAAACCTGCTTGGCTCCTTTTGTTGATCCAACTCTGAGGCCAACCAGTTATGGGAAGGGTTGGCCTGTTGGAGGGATGGGTTGGCCTACGGAGCTGTAGCTCTTTGAATGTCTGTCCTTCTCACCCCTCACCTCTCCGTCTTTGGATTCCAGTCTCAGCTCTGTCCTGCAGGTGGCTTCCATATTGCCAGCTTCTGCATTGATTTCTACTCCTTTTGGGGCCTCCATCACTAGAGACCGGGTTGGGGACTCCAACCTGAAAAACACACACGACCAACAATAAAGATCTCTTTTTCTTTTTAATAAATACAAAAGGAAGTTTATGCTCCAGGACATTGACAGAGCATTTCAATATGTGATCAGAGAATTTTTTAAAGTTTTGCTTTACACACCTGGTCAAGTTTATGACAGGGAACAAAATAGGTCTAGACTTCATCTTCATTGCATTTTACAAAGGCTGTAAGGAAGGTGTTCTAGGATCCTGGTTTCAATTTATCTTATATCCAGTTGTTGTTTTATTGGTATAATTAATCAAACTCTCATATAAGCTTTTTTTTCCCTTCTTTTTTTGTAAGAGTAAGGCAATCCTGGATCTAAACTGAGCTTCCTGGAATTGGTAGGTATCCCTTCTAGCTTTTCTATCTTCCACAGAGGCAGAATCAGATAGGGGTTAAGAAAATGGGTCTAGGAGTCCCATGTGCTTGGAGTGAAGCCATGGGGTGGACACTAAATGACTGTGGGCAGTCTTTTTTGCTTGACCTCGTCTTTCCTTTCTAAAATTTCTTAAGGCCCCAGTTCCTCCTCTATAAAGTACTTCAAAAGTGCCTGACACAATAGAAATGCAAATATATGTTATATAATACTATTACTGCTGCTACTATTGTTATAATACCAGCAAATCATAATGAAGCCCTCAGGCCTTAACCTTCAGTGCAGCTGTCATTTCTGCATTGCAGACAGGGTCAGTGGTTGCCAGGGACTGGGGAGGGGAGGTGGTCTGATTGTAAAGGGACAGCATAAGAAAAACATGTTTTGAGTGATGGAACTTGATGGCAAGGGTGGTGACAGGTCTCTGTGTATTTGTGAAAACTTTCAGATGAGTGAATTTTATGGTATGTAAGATAAAAAATAAATCGAGAGGAGAATCAGCCACATTCTATGCTAATTACGATGGCAAAACAGGATAATACTCCTCAGGAAGCTTTTTGCCTAATTCATATAATGAGAAAAACATTAAAACTCAACCATCCCCTAACTATTCTAGATTTTATTTTCATTTTTCTTAGAAACAGGGTCTCACCCTGTTGCTCAGGCTGCTACAGCTCACTGCTGTTTCAAATTCCTGTGCTTAAGTGATCCTCTCATCTCAGCCTCCTGAATAGCTGGGCATGTGCCACCATGTGCCATTAATTTTTAATTTTTTTGTAAAGATGGGGTTTTGCTGTGTTGCCCAGGCTGGTCTCAGGTTCCTCGGCTCAAGTGATCTTCCCTCCTTGGCCACTTTAAGCGCTGGGATTACAAGCATGAACCATCATACCCAATTGATTTTAATGCTATTACCAGATAGGAATGTATGAAGATCCTCCTCTGTTACAAAGAAAGTATCCTAACTTAGGAACAGAGACCTCAACAATGGTTCTCAAAACACTAGGATCCAGACCCATTCCCCGAGTTTAATTTCTGTGCTTCTGACTGTTAAAAAGAAACATCATTCTCCTTGCCCACTGCTGACTCTCTGTTCTGTTTTGTCATTGCCTCTGGGTAGGGTAAAGCCTCTTGGGCCTCAGTAAGCAGCAAACAAAGCAAGCTGACCAGTGAGACCCACCATGGAGCAACCCCCAGCCACATTATACAAACACCAAGAGAGAGCTCATCCACATTTCTGGGGTCAAGGTTCTTGAGGACTGCTTCCAGACAGCAGCCTTCTCCCTTGAGTTTTTTTGCTCTACAATGACTCAACTAAAAGTCATCATGAGCAGCAACAGTCCTGGAGTATTTAGGAAAGGATTAGCCTGAGTTTCTTTGTAAAGAATTCTTTCTTCTGTGGTCTCGCTCCTTTGTGTGTGGCAAAAATCCTCCACTCCCCACCTCCACTCCTCTGAAGACCTTCACCAGGTTGTGCTGGACCAGGTGCAGTTCTGCCCGTTATTGTGGTTCACCTCATTGCACTTTGATAATGTCAGTGCAACAGGGAGGGGGGATCTTATTAGCAGGAGAAGATGGGCAACAGAAAGTGATGTCTGTGCGGTACGGCCTGGTCTAGAACCTTAATCCAACTCCGTGGAGCTGCCCTGTGCTCTTGACTCCCTCTCACTTTTGAGTTATGAAGATGGGTTTTGCCACTCTCTAATTTTTGTCTCCTATACAGCCTAGCTGATGTACACAGTTTATCCTAGGTTTTCTAAAAACTCGTTCCATTTCCGCTAATGCTGATACCTTTCTCCTTGTAGCATGGGTTTGCACTCTTAAAATACTATCTGCACACCCCTTATCAGTGACACTGCCATCATCTCCTTCTCCAGGTGAGAGTCCTCCTGTCATCATTTCTCTTTCTTCCTTTTTCCCTCCCTCCCTTATTTCATTAGTGAACTTAGCTTTTAAGTCAGAACTTCTCCATTCTCAGAATCAAGCCAGGGACTGGCCACTAAATGATCATGGGCAAATTTTTCTTCCTTTCCCTCCTCTTTTGTTCCAAAAATTTCTTAGAATGATTCTCAAATGTGAGCATCAGAATCACTGGGAGGGCTTACGGAAGAGTCACCTCTAACCTGGACGATTGTAACTGTTCTCCCAAGCTTTGTCTCTAATTTTTCCTTTTTCCCAATGAACTTCTCACAAAAAAATATCTTCCTGAAGTAAGTTTTGAATATATTACTTATCAAAACTTGTAGGATATGTTCTACAAGTTCCTTAGAAGAGATCTGAACTCCATTTGGAATTTGTTCTGATCTGTTTTGCCAGTCTTATTTCTTGCCATAAACATCAGTTATATTTTATTGAGAGTTTACTAGGTGGTGACACTGCTAAGGGGTTTACATGTGTTATCTCATTTAATCCTCACCAAAATCTATCAATCTGGTGTTTCTGTAGTGCTGATTATACAAACAAGGAATCAAAGGTACAGTGACTTGCTCATGGCTATACTTCTAGTAAAATGGCAGAATCAAGATTTGAAATTAGTTTAGTGGACTCTAGAGCCAATATTTGTTTACTATACCATATTAGTTCCAGAAAAACTGTATTTCTTTCCTTGTGTTGTATCTTCACCCCTATTTTCTGTAATTCTTTTTTCAAGAAATTCTTATATTTATAAAACCAATCTATATAAACAATAATGAGATAATAGTACTGTATATGGCTAAGTGATGCATACTTCATGTTATTCAGTATTTCTCATAACTTATTTAAACAGTCTACATCAGCAATATCAAATTTAGGATATGTGGAACGTGTTCACACTTGGCACATAGAGTTCAAAGTGAATGATTCAGTATAAACACAATAGTTTGGGGAAAAAGAAAGCTTGAAACAGAAAAAAGTATGGAGCTTACAGAACTTGATCAGATGCAGGACTGACTGGCATTTCAGACAGGTATTAGAATTCCCTTTATACCTGCCTACTCCCTAGGCCTCTGAGATTAGCAGGAGGGACCCAGGCCAGAGAGACAGACTCAGAAATGACTCCTGCCTTTCCCCTCATCTCAGCCATGGAGGAACCAGGGTGCTGAGACAGAGGATGCTACTCTGAAAGTGTTGTATTGTGAAAGGCTGCAACACAACAGAGATGATGGTTTCCTGGAAGCAGAGACAAAAAAGGTAACAGGCTTTCTATTGTATAGTCCAGCTTGATGTCCTTTGATGTTCAGGCAGACCTAACAGACTTTGTTCACATTCTAATCTTTCCACCGAGATGAAGCTCCTTGATATGGTTTGGCTGTGTCCCCACCCAAATGTCAGCTTATATTGTAGTTCCCATAATTCCCAAGTGTCATGGGAGAGGCTTGGTGGGAGGTAATTGAATCAGGGGATGGTTGCCCCCATGCTTTTCTCATGATAGTGAGTTCTCATGAGATCTGATGATTTTATAAGGGTCTTTCCCCCTTTGGTTGGTACTTCTCTTTCCTGCCACCTTGTGAAGAAGGTTCCTTGCTTCCCCTTAACCTTCTACCATGAATGTAAGTTTCCTGAGGCCTCCCTAGCCTTGGGGAACTGTGAGTCAGCTAAACATCTTTTCTTTATAAATTACCCAGCCTCGGGCAGTTCTTTATAGCAGTATGAAAATAGACTAATACACCCCTACAAAAGCCTTGTGAAAACTGCAGAGAGCATCACTTCTAAAGTGATGTCCGTCAACCTCTGCCTGTAGATCGATAATCACAACACAATTGTTTAGATGGCACGTAGTAAGGAAAAATGGAAGAAGGTTTTCTCCTGATGGGGTGGCAATTAAGGGTCCTGCTGGCTCTTGGAAAAGAACACTACTTCCATTAGGAGAAAATGCAAGGTTCCTCTCAGAGGAGAAAGAAGAGCCTCACTAAAGAGATGCAGAAAGGAGGAGTGGCCAGGAAGTATAGGGGCCAGAGCTGGGCTGGGCCAGGCTGTGTCATGTCTTCTAGAAGGATGGTTCTCAAATGTGAGCATCAGGATCACCTGGTGGGCTTGTGAAAACAGTGCTGGGTCCTCTCCACAGTGGCTGATTCAGTAAGTCTAGAGGGGTGCCTGAACATCCACATTTGTAACAAGTTCCCAGGTGATGCCGATGCTGCTTGTTTGGGAAGCCACACTTTCGGAAGCACTGCGCTAGTCCAAGGGTCATAAACTCAAGTGCCCCCCACAAAGACTAAATAGGTGATGACAATGACTAACCCGTAAGAAAGCTATAAGTAAAATGCCATTCCCAGAACAGTAAATTACGGTATGTGGCACTGGCCTAAATGTGAATGTGGTGGTAGAGATGCTGTCTACAGGGACAGCTGCTGTTCTATCTAACTTGGCCAGTGGTTGCCAAGGCTTCTGATTTTATTGCTTTCTAATTTAAAATGTTTTGATTTTTAATCTGAATTATTAAATTTTATGAATAGAGACAAAAGAATATGAAAGTATAAATACAGTATAAAGAATGACAATGGTGCCTGGGCACAGTGGCTCACACCTGTAATCCCAGTACTTTGGGAGGCCAAGGCGGGAGAATTACAAGGTAAGGAGTTCGAGACTAGCCTGACCAACGTGGTAAAAGCCTGTCTCTACTAAAATACA